TGACCTTGTTATACCATATGTCAATATGTCCTTGTTATACCATGTGGTAATATGACCTTGTTATACCATGAAGCAATATGACGTTATACCATGGAACAATATGACCTTGTTATACAATGAGGCATTATGACCTTGTTATACCATGGGGCATTGTGACCTTGTTATGCCATGGGTTGGTGTATGGCAGGCTGGTTGTCCATTACTGGAATATGGCAGGCTGGTTGTCTAGTACTGGAGTATGTCAGACTGGTTGTTCAGTATTGGAGTAAGGCAGACTGGCTGTCTAGTACTGGAGTATGGCAGACTGGTTGTTCAGTACTGGAGTATGGCAGACTGGTTGTCCAGTACTGGAGTTAGGCAGGCTGGCTGTCCAGTACTGGAGTATGGCAGACTGGCTGTCCAGTACTGGAGTATGGCAGGCTGGTTGTCCAGTACTGGAGTAAGGCAGGCTGGTTGTCCAGTACTGGAGTATGGCAGGCTGGTTGTTAAGTATTGGAGTAAGGCAGGCTGGTTGTCCAGTACTGGAGTATGGCAGGCTGGTTGTCCAGTACTGGAGTATGGCAGACTGGTTGTCCAGTACTGGAGTATGGCAGACTGGTTGTCCAGTACTGGAGTACGGCAGGCTGGTTGTCCAGTACTGGAGTATGGCAGGCTGGTTGTCCACTACTGGAATATGGCAGGCTGGTTGTCCACTACTGGAGTATGGCAGGCTGGTTGTCCAGTACTGGAGTATGGCAGGCTGGTTGTCCACTACTGGAGTATGGGAGGCTGGTTGTCCAGTACTGGAGTATGGCAGACTGGTTGTCCACTACTGGAGTATGGCAGACTGGCTGTCCAGTACTGCAGTATGGCAGACTGGTTGTCCAGTACTGGAGTATGGCAGACTGGCTGTCCACTACTGGAGTATGGCAGACTGGTTGTCCAGTACTGGAGTATGGCGGGCTGGTTGTCCACTACTGGAGTATGGCAGGCTGGTTGTCCAGTACTGGAGTAAGGCTGGGTGGTTGTCCAGTACTGGAGTATGGCAGGCTGGTTGTCCAGTACTGGAGTATGGCAGGCTGGTTGTCCAGTACTGGAGTAAGGCGGGCTGGTTGTCCAGTACTGGAGTAAGGCAGGCTGGTTGTCCAGTACTGGAGTAAGGCAGGCTGGTTGTCCACTACTGGAGTATGGCTGGGTGGTTGTCCAGTACTGAGGCAGTGCAAGGTAGTGATTCAGCATGGAACTGATGCAAGCTGGCTGTCGTGCCCCATCTGAAGACTAATTGTCAACTTTCCCAAACTTTCCCAATAAAGTGCTGAGTTAATCAGCCTGGGTGTTGAGTTTAATATCCCCAGGTCCGCATGCTTGAACGGCGAGAAAATCAAAGATTTCAGTCCAATAATGTCCGTAGTCCTGCCGAGTTGCAAGATATATTTTCCCGTAAAAGCTGTTGATGAGATAAAACCATTCCTTGATTGGGTTTTATTTTCAGGTGTAGACGATGTTGTTGATCCGGAAAAATTGACTAGTGGGCCGTACTTGATTAAGTGACATGCTGCCCGTTTCAGGGAGAGTGTCATGCGAGGAGTGAGTGCTGACTGATGATGGTCGACTTTCCTCCTGCATGGCTACATGTGTCTCTGTAGTGGAATTACAGCTAAAACATTGAATGTGTGACTCACTGTCAAGTGAGGTTGCCATTAAAGCAGTGCTCATCATCGTCACATCAATTAAAGGTTTCTGTGGATTTAACTTGCTCTACCTGCTGCTTCTGGAGGGTTAATGTGTCCACGATGTTTTGTCAATTTGTATTCCCATCAAACCTCGAGAGGGTTAACGCATCAAGTGATACTTTTCACATTAGTTTGCTGACAAATAGCATAAAATTCTAATCACTAGCTAAGCGAAGGACGTCCATTTCCATATTCAACCCCATCTTCATTCCAAATTTCACTAATGGTCCTAATTTGTCAAATCTGGTGGTGATTTTATGGATTTTCTGAGGGCCAAAAGCTAATGACTGGTCCCGGTGTAGGGGTATGGTCGTATCCTGCCGTCTCACAGAGTGGACTGTGTTCATACTCACGCCATCGATTTGTCCGCAAGGGGACATTTTGGGCTTGTTTACGAGCGTGTCCCATTCAGAGCAGTGATGGGAGAATCACGATGGAAAAGATGCTTTGTTAAGTACCTCTTACGAAAATTACTTGTTGAATTATAGCATTCAAGCTCGCAAAGTCAAGAGCCTAGGGAATCGAGCACGAAATGTGAAAATATGGCTGCTTTTGATACCACAAATTTGACAGACTTTGGTCATAAACTCTGCTAATCTTTCTCCAGACAATGAGTATAAGCTGAGCCAGTGATGGCTTGGGTGATTGTCTGCATGCACTGTTAGTGTAGACAGATTGTTGTATAACGCACGGGGATATTAGCTCTGCCGCCATATTACACACAGGAACATAATCTTTGTCATACATGGCTCTTCTCAGCAGAAAATTGGCTGTCCTGGTTGGTGAGGCATATGTCTTCATTCCCGACTCGGATGTTAAGTAGGTACGATGACAGACAGGAAGCTTGACAGATTGAGCTTGTGTACCGATGTCCTAGTGCCTGGTGTCTCTGTGTCCGGGATTAGATACCTCAACTAGTACACAATGTTGATGATGTGTCGCAAGGTTGTCTGCTGAAATAGCATGGGTCTGGTTTCTGGGGAGATGGTGAAATCTGACAGTATTACTGTGTTTGTTATACACAGATACAAGATATCACACAGTGATACAAGATATCACACACTGATACAAGTTGTCACACTCTAATACAAGTTGTCACACTCTGATACAAGTTGTCACACACTGATACACGTCACTCTCTGATACAAGCTGTCACATACTGATACAAGTTGTCACACTCTGACACAAGTTGTCACACTCTGATACAACTTGTTACACAATGATACAAGTTGTCACACACTGATACATATTGTCACATACTGATACAAGTTGTCACACTCTGATACAAGTTGTCACTCTGATACAAGTTATCACACACTGATACACGTCACAATGATACAAGTTATCACACACTGATACACGTCACAGTGATACAAGTTATCACACACTGATACACGTCACAATGATACAAGTTGTCACACACTGATACAAGTCACAATGATACAAGTTATCACACACTGATACACGTCACAGTGATACAAGTTATCACACTGATACACGTCACAATGATACAAGTTGTCACACACTGATACACGTCACAATGATACAAGTTATCACACACTGATACACGTCACAATGATACAAGTTGTCACACACTGATACACGTCACAATGATACAAGTTGTGACACACTGATACACGTCACTTTGATACAACTTATTACACACTGATACACGTCACAATGATACAAGTTATCACACACTGATACACGTCACAATGATACAAGTTGTCACACACTGATACACGTCACAATGATACAAGTTGTCACACACTGATACACGTCACAATGATACAAGCTGTCGAACACTGATACACGTCACAATGATACAAGTTATCACACACTGATACACGTCACAATGATACAAGTTATCACACACTGATACACGTCACATTGATACAAGTTATCACACACTGATACACGTCACAATGATACAAGTTATCACACACTGATACACGTCACAATGATACAAGTTGTCACACTGATACACGTCACAATGATACAAGTTGTCGAACACTGATACACGTCACAATGATACAAGTTATCACACACTGATACACGTCACAATGATACAAGTTATCACACACTGATACACGTCACATTGATACAAGTTATCACACACTGATACACGTCACAATGATACAAGTTATCACACACTGATACACGTCACAATGATACAAGTTGTCACACTGATACGTACACGCCACAATGATACAAGTTGTGACACACTGATACTTTCGTCACAATGATACATGTTACACACAGTTACCGTCACATGATACAAGTGATACACACTGATACCGTCACAATGATACAAGTTATCACACACTGATACACGTCACAATGATACAAGTTATCACACACTGATACACGTCACAATGATACAAGTTGTCACACACTGATACACGTCACAATGATACAAGTTATCACACACTGATACACGTCACAATGATACAAGTTGTCACACACTGATACACGTCACAATGATACAAGTTATCACACACTGATACATGTCACAATGATACAAGTTGTCACACACTGATACACGTCACAATGATACAAGTTGTGACACACTGATACACGTCACAATGATACAAGTTGTCACACTGATGCAAGTTATTACACACTGATACAAGATGTCATTCTGATACAAGTTGTCACTCTCTGATACAAGTCACACACTGATACACGTCACACAATGCTAGAAGTTGTCACACTGATACAAGTTGTCACACTGATACATGATGTCACACACTGATACAAGATGTCACACACTGATACAAGATGTCACTCTCTGATGCAAGTTGTCACATACTGATACAAGTTGTCACATACTGATACATGTTGTCACATACTGATACATGTTGTCACACACTGATACAAGATGTCACTCTCTGATGCAAGTTGTCACACATTGAATGATACAAGTTGTCACATACTGATACAAGTTGTCACACACTGATACAAGATGTCACTCTCAGATACAAGTTGTCACACTGATACACATCACACAATGATACAAGTTGTCACACTGATACACATCACACAATGATACAAGTTGTCACACTGATACACATCACACACTGATACAAATTCTCACACATTGATACAAATATGCTTTACAGCAACATGCACCTGTATAAATGTGAATTACAACCACAATTATTGTTTTCTACTTGTTTTATGGAGTAATTCTTCATTATTGTTTACTTGTGATTATTTTCTAGACCACTTACTTATTTACCTGCACTATTCATGGATCCCTCATTGATTATTGTTTATTTATTGCAGTATGAATTCAAAGCCAAAGCGATCAAAAAGAAGAAAGTGGTGATCACTGTCTCAACAGATGGAGTCAAAGTGCTCATGAGAAAAAAGAAAAAAGTAAGTCAATATTTTTCATGTGAACTACGGTGGAGACACAACAGAGTCTGGCTCTGACAGTTTTCATGTAAATCATCAGCAGCCATTACATGCCCAGAATAAGAAAAACTTTGCTGTTTGGAGTCCGGGCAAAAAACATAATCTGAAATGGGCAGCTTGAAGAAGAGAGTAATGGTGTCCCTAGATTGATAAGTTGTGGATTTATTATGTATAGGTTTACACATACGCCTTTTCGATCAGAACATTTCTTTGGTATGTTATCCTTCCATCGTACAGTAAGCTAGATTTACAATACGGACATCATTATAATGAACTGACGGATATGACAAACGTTTTGTCCCAGAAACTTGCTGTATATTTAAACCGAACTACAGTGAAAGCGAGCAAATGTAGTGGTCCTTTTAACTTTATCATAACTATAGTATTTCACTCAAGCTGTTTGAAAATTATTTCTGACAGATAATTTTTCCCCTGAATTTTAGGATTTTGTTTCTCCATCTTGTTGCTTGTGCTCATCATGATAATACACTGAAGCTTCTCGGCTGATATGTTCAGTGGTCAAATCTTCCACATGGTGCAGTAGTGTAGGGTTTTCTAAAACTGTGTGGTGAGTTTGTTGTTGGAGGACACATCGGAGACCCTGATGTACGGGTGGAGACGGCGAATCCCACTACAGGATGGACTTTGAAACAATGATTAGCAGATCCTGGTACAGCTTAAGATGCAACTTGCAAATCGTGGTAGCTTAGTCAATTTTGCCACCTGTGGCCTCTCCAGGGAATGGTGGTCACCATTGTCAGCTCAGACAAGTGTCAGATGCGATCATCATGTGACAGACTCTTCTACAGGCATCACCAGTTCCTCCTCATTTGTTAGGTCACATGGTGATGATACCCAGACTTCTGGGTAATAGCTAACTGATCCTTAAGCCCATATTGGAAAGTCTTTAATGACTCTTAAGACGTCGGACACCACCTCCATGTTTTAATCTTCTCACTTAGGGTTGCCTTAAGTCTGTGGTAATCCCTGGTAATGGCTTCTAGACCAGCTCATTGATCACACCAGCATGTAGAGGCAGACGGTAACAGCGAGCACACCATGCACTGCGCGATATTCCATGGATCATTACGAGTGTTGAGAAGAAAGCTTGTTGTGAGAATGACTGAGGGCATTCAGGCCACCTGTAGCCAAGTCCTCCTCAGAAATGATCTAATATTCATGGTTCAGTTGAAATAATCGTAAAATGGAATTATCGCATATCGCGGGATCAAAGCATGACTGAGTAATCTGTCGGGCAAACTGCTGCAATACTAAATCAAGCTCGACGTTCTTTCTATGTGTGTGTTGCTTTCATTGAACGTAATTGGGAATTCATTGATTTGGTTCAAAAACCTTAGGTTCTTTAACTTCTTTCAAATTCACCCAAGCACGTGCCGAGAGTTATCCTATTCAGCATCAGCATCTAAAATGATGTGAAGTTGGGTGAGTTGAGTGCTGGAGTTTGTCAGCACCGGCTGTAACGCTGGCTGGGCCATGCCTGAGACTTCATTGCCTCTATTCACATAGTGTTCAACAGTACATGTACATTACCAGCTGATTGAGTGTGTCTCACTCCCTGAACCAGTCCCTCGTCTACCGCCCCGAGCTGTGATGCAGCCTCCGTAATGGCGTCCCACCACTCAGCTCATTCAACTTTCTGCAACTTGTGTCGATGTTGATACATTTTATAAATTGGTTTACACGGTTTCAAACCCTACATAAGTTAAAAGAAACAACTTATGTTTCATCATCAGGCAGGAGACTCAATTCATAAATTATTCAAGAAAACTGTTGGCACACGTTGCAACTCAGCCAATCAGCTTCATGAAAAGATGAATAATCTTGCTGACTATATGCCGTACACTACAATAGACATGTAGGCCAATATAGCTGACTATATACCTTTCACCGCTCGCACGCACGCATGCACATACACACACATACATACATAACCCGTGAAGATCCGGGGTAGAATAGGTCTTCAGCAACCCATGCTTGCCACAAAAGGCGACTATGCTTGTCGTAAGAGCTGACTAACGGGATCGGTGGTCAAGCTCGCTGACTTGGTTGACACATGTGATCGGTTCCCAATTGCGCAGATCGATGCTCATGCTGTTGATCACTGGATTGTCTGGTCCAGACTCGATTATTTACAGACCGCCACCATATAGTGTGGAATATTGTTGAGTGTGGCGTAAAACTAAACTCACTCATTCACTCACGTACATACATACATACATACATATATATGCCAATTCAGCAGACTGTATGCCCTTCACTGTACGCACACACGCGCACGCACACACACATGCATACATGCCAATACAGCAGACTGTATGCCCTCCACTACACATCTACACAACTGCACCTATGTTGACTATCCTGTCAATGTACCCAATCAATTTAGAAGGAACTTTCAAATGTTAAAGTAGAATCTCTACAAGTTTTATTTCCTTTGAGATAATATTTTTTCAGACTTGTCAATTTCCATTAGATGACAAATGTGCTTGTTCCTCCTGAAGTAATGCTATTGTGGAAGTTTTTCTGGGAAGGTAAAAACCTTGTAGTGACATTTTCCAATGCTTCATCGTGGTGCTTCCAGTACACGCAGCAATAAAGGCCATGCCATGGGCAGTTGTGATATTTCACCCTCCATGTTGGTGGCGTGCAGGGTTGAAGTGTGTTCTCATCCATGGAAGCATCTCGTCAATAATTCTGTTTTGTGAAGGTATTAATTCAAATGTCCTTTATCGGGGAATAACAAGAATGTTTTTTTGTAAAATAATGATTTGTTATCTTTAAACACACATGAGTTAAGGTTGGTAATTTCCTTTGTGAGTGAGTGTGTGTGTGAGTGAGTGAGTGATATCTCCTCAAGATTTGAGACTTGATTCTCCAGCCTGTCATGTGTCTGAGCAGTTTTCATCTCAGTGAGAAAAACCACTTCCATTATCCTGAAAAAATCTCTGCTAAAAGCACAGTCCATTGTTGATTTTGATGACGCCATTCACATAAGCTTAAGAATCACTATCAAATTATGATAATACCAGACATTCATGCAGAAGGGAGCATATCCTGCCCAGCAAGTGGTACCCTAGTCAGTCATACAGACCCTGAAGCAAACATATCCAAGAAAGCCCATGCAAGTCTAGATTTCCACATTTCTGAAAATGAAGAATGTCTCAGGGCTACTTTTCATTATATTTTATGTTTTTTATTATGAACTGTTTCTCCTGGTAAATATGTTCATTTCCAAGACTAGTTGTTAGTCTAGTAGTACCCACACAAATACATGCAAAGGCATATCAACTGTTGTCATGAAGAATCATGGGAGCACACGGTACCAGTAAAAGAAGGGAATTCCATAACTTTTGACATTTATGCATCAGACTTTTCATGTACGCACTCACTCACCCTTGAATAAACAGTGGAAGCTCTCTAAACCGGCATTGGTTGGGACAGGCAAAAATGCCAGTATGGAGAACTTTTCTTAAATGAACTAGTTTCTACCGGGACAAAATTTTAGTGCCGATATTGAGAGCATGACGGATTGGAGGGCTGCCGGTTTAGAGGGCTTCTACTGTAGTTACCATGGTCAAATAACCTTTAAGCAAGAGTATGATTCCCTTTGACATGTTCTGAACAGGGTGTGTCTTTTCTCCTTGACCCTGTATTTTTGTAAATCGTCATCTTTACATTACATGTGGGTAGGGTGTGTCATGAGTAGTTGTGAAATGTAGACAAAAAGGCTTGAGCTGCAGGAACATTGTTTGCAGTGAGGGTAGATGTCTCTTGCCATACAGTCTTGTGGAGAGTATTTTCGAAATTCTGAATCTTAGGTCATCTCTCTGGTCTACAGTCTTATAGATACACCCTACGTCAGCCCAAATCTTTATGCACAGATCTGAAGGTGAACAGTTGAGGTTGTTTCACTGTTAAGATTTACAGAACACTGTACATGGCAGAAAGAGTACTCACCCAAACACACCAAATACATTGTACATATAGCCTCTGTAGTACACATCATCTGTCTGACCAAGCTGCTTGATTCATCTTTGCACCCCTGTTGATGAAAAATTAATTTTTCCTTGAAAACTGTTCAGGTGAAATTAGGTGATGAATATTGAAACAGTTGAGTGCAGGTGTCCTTGCTGAAGAAATTATTGCTACACCACTTCAGTGAATAACTGTGTGCCTGCTGCAGGGGAAATAATAAGCCCTAACTTAATGACTGCATACACCACCATATCGAATTTTCGCTGTTTTACAGATTAAAGCAAAGGGCTTATAAAAAGAGTCTTTGTCAGTTTATCCATTATATTTTCCCTTCTTTATGCTGCATTACATGTACACTTGTAGAAATATGTCTAATATATGTCGGTCTGTTGCTAGGACTCCAGAAGACTGCAGGAGTGAGTGGGTGGTGTGAGTTTAACCAATATCGCAGGAACTGGGTGAAAATACATATACTTCTAAAGGTGCTGAAAAGTAGAAATCAATCTTCTGTGGTCTGAGTGTACAACTATGTTACTGGTCAAATGACTGAAAACATGACATACTAGTGTGGCATCACGTTGCTTATGATGACACAAGACGTGTGGTGTTACAGCAGACAGCCTAAGATCATGCTGTCTGTTGTCACCAAAACTTGAAATACATTGTTTGTGTTTTCCCTGAAAAAATATACTTCTTAACTAAAACTCTGCATTCTATAATCTGAATTGTACATATAATGTTTTATAATGTCTTCTGACAATTACTTCGAAAGAAGATCTTATCTGTAAATATTTGCTTCCATGATGGGCTCATTCGATATTTATTGTAGAGAGGAGTTGTACATTGTATTTGAATATATTTTCATTCTTGAAAGTTACACATTGCCAGAGTGAGATGATGATTTCCACAAAGACATTGACACAACAGAAATAGCAGCCTCTAATGCCATACACAGGTACTCTCAA